TCCGACGACGCCCCGCGAGGCACCCCGAGAGTGGTCCAATAAGCAAAAATTGTAGATTTCTTATGGGGAAACTGATATGTTTGGCGCCTTCGCCTTTTGGATTTTCACTGCGTCCAAGACGGCCCATGAGGCACCCAAGACGGTCGAGGATGCCCCCAAGAGGGTTCAAGACGGCCCACGACGGAGGCCAAGACGACACACGAGACGCCCAAACCGCCCAACAACGCCCCCAGTCGGCGCTCAAGACGGGGACGAGACACAGAAAATGTGAGCCATTTGGCCCAAGAGGCCCACAGGAGACCCCAAGAGGCTCCAAGAAGCGCCCAAGAAGCCCCAAGGGGCCCCCAAGAGACTTGGAAAAGCATGGAAATCCCATAATTATCTGTTCCTTCAAGCTTGGCCCGCAGTCTACTCTTGCACAACAAACCACAATTCAGACCCCCTCTCACCTTGCAAAAAGAGCCCAGTGAGGGACCCAAAATCGTTAAATACCTAGAAAGGACATTGATGATTTCTGCGTTTCCGCACTTCCCCTTATATACGTTTCCGAGGCTTGCGCAGGGCCTCCAAGGGAGCCCCTGGACGCAGGAAGCGACCAATATGATATTACATGAGTTAGCTGATCAAGCCTAGCTTGAACTTGAGCGCGCGCGAAACGCGCGATGATTCTAGTGTGTATATTTATAATGCTATATCATAGTATGATATATTCTACATGTGTACACGTGTATATATATATATATGTATATATTGCAGACATTCACAAGGATGCATGGCGGTTCATTTTCAAAGTGGAGTTTTCGCATGGTTTCGCCGCAGCGCCGCGAGCATTATTTCTTAAAGGCTGTGACAGCTGGAAGGATGGACGGAGGTATGTTTTCAAAACGTGGTCGACGCATCAGTGCCGCGCAGAGTCGTCTCAAACAATAGCTTAGTGCAACCTTTGCGAGGATGGAAGGTGTTTCGTTTTAAAAATGGGGTTTGCAGGTTGGAAAGAGCGCTTCCCGTTGCCGCTTGGAGAGGAGGGGGTGTTTGACCCCCCCCTTGGGTGCAAAAGGAGGTATGGTGAAACCCCCCCTCCCCCCTCCAGGAGAAATCGAACCCACCTCTATCGTCGCCACTACTCGTCGCCAGCAGACGACGACGGCGGTCGCCGATACCAGCAAACAACGACGGGCGGCGGCGACGACGAACGACGACGACGCCGACGTCACCGCCCGCTGGCGACGTCGGTCGTCGTGCGGCGCGTACAGGGGTGGAGAGGGTTCGAACCCTGCCCCCCTTGAATCAGGGGGGGTGGGGCTTGTGGGGAGGGGATAAGGGGGAGGGACCCCCCCCCCGCTCCAACGTGTCGCGGGATGTTCCCAAGGCAAGCGCCAGTGAAACGCGTACCCGCGCAGAAGAGCATCGCGCACATTCGATGTACAATCTGGCAACAAGTACATGGATGGAGGCCATCACCTTTTCTAAATTCGGTCTCCGCCGTACTGCCACACACACACACAAGCACTCGTCTTACATCGTTGCAACAGTTACACATGACTTGTGGCACGTTTTCAAAATGGGGCGCTCGCATGCGATTTCTTCAACATGTGTGACCAGAGGGGAAACAGAGTGCAACAGCTACACGGATGGAGGTGGGGGGCGAATGCAGGGACCCTCCTGGCGGCGACTGACCTCCGAAAGCGTGTGTTTATGTTGACGTTTCGTCCTCTATCCCTTTTCCCTCCCTCCGCGTCCTCCCCCCCGTCTTCCCCCTCCTCTTCCCCGCCTCGCGGCACGCCGAGACGTACGACCTTCCGCGATGGGATGATCGCTGCCCCTCTCCTTCCCTTCTCCCTGGTCCTCGGTCCCGCTGCCCTCCTCCTCTTCCTCCTCCTCCTCTTCGTCCTCCTCCTCTTCGTCCTCCTCCTCCTCCTCCTCCTCCTCCTCCTCCTCCTCCCCCGCCCCCCCTCCGTAGCCATTGTGGCTCAAGGCTAAGCGTTGTGAAGGATTATAGACGCCCGGGAACCAGCGATTAGCTTTGTAGCCCTTCCGCAGGCTTTTGTCGAGCATTCGGGCAGGCGCTAGCTCAGAGGCTGGCCGCGTCTCCATACTCCCCCAGATGGCCCGAATCACGCCAGTCACTCCCGCTCTTGGGGAAGAGGTGGGATTCCCCGCGACGCCTGGCGAGGACGACGAGAGTCGCGATCCTTCTCGATTCCACAGCCCTCCGATGTCGGTGTTGTCGTCGCCGCGAGGACAGGCCGTTCCGACTACAGCAGCCAGTTCATCACCTTCGACGCTGACGACGGACAACCTGATGTTTCTTCTGCGCAACATGGATTAGGAGCTCTCGAACGTGTGCACCAGAGATGACATGCAGCAACTGCAGAATCGCCTGAACACGCACGACGAACACTTCGCCACGCACGACGAACACTTCGCCACTCTGGAGACTCGCATCGCCAGGATCGAAGATGACACCTCAGAGAGGATCACGGCCGTTGTTGAAGATGCCATCCTGACCAAGCTCGAGGCCCGCTTGCAAGCTTGTGAGCACGCCGCATCCACAGCAGTCTCCCGTTCGCGCTCCAGCCCATCGTCGAACAGCTCATTCTCAACTGCTGGGGGTCTGAAGCGCCGCGCCGTGGGCGACGACGCGCCCTCTCCGATGACCGCCAACCAGGAGTCCGACAAGTGTCGTGTTTGGATCGGCGGGTTCCCTCGCCGCGCGCTCGGTTCTGTTCTGCAGGCCCACGCCAGGCTCGTCAGCCAGCTGCCACCCTTGCACTCCACGGGCGCCGAGATCACCGCCAAGAATACGCAGATGAGCTACTCGATCCGCTCCGCCACCACAGACATCGCCAGCGACGTCGCCCAGCAGCTGAAGACAGGCGGCACTGACTGGGTGGACCCTCGCACCATGGTCACTCTCCAGATGCGCTGCCGCTGCGACGCCAGCGCGGACGGAAGTTCGAGCACGTCACATGTCTCTGGGACGCTCGTGGCAGGCCGCGATCAACTACATGAAGGAGAACAACACCTCGGGAATACTGACTACCACCTCGGCTGCGATGGCACACGCGGGATACTTTTTCATCCTGTTCGGCCAAGATGACGTTGAATCCTTTGCAATAGAATTCATGAAACGATTTGTTTCCCGACATCAAGTAGTCTGTCTGCACGAAACCAGAGGCCCCCAGAAGGAACTCGACCTCCTCCTCCTCCTCAACGACATAATCGGCACACGTGGCTTTGGTACTTTCTTCGAGTCTAGAGATGCAGGCGGATGCATCATTGTCCTGAGCGAGCCCCTCAGTCTCAACTTTCAGCACGTTCGGCAACGCGTGGCCCGCAGGGGAAGAGCCCAGCAGGTTACTCTCTACAGCTCACGAGGGATCCTCCAAATCATGAACATCCACATCGCCCCGACTATCCCCGCCCCTGCCCAAAAAGTCCCCCATGCCCGGGCCTCGCGAGCCTTGCCCACGCAATGCAGAGCCCCAGCTTTCATCGCAGGCGAATGGAACATGCGCATCGAGGGCGAGGGCTCTCAGCGCGTCTCTGGCAGGCTGATTCCGACGAAGTCCGATATCGCCCGTCGCGCAGATCGCGTTTTTTTGTTTTCTCGCGACGCGCCGAAGCGACGCAGGAGATGCCGACGCATCGCGTTGTTCAAGGCGATATGTTGGCATCGGTCGCACGTTTGGATCGCGTCACGCATGCAGCCCAGCACGATGACCATCGGTGATGTCACAGATTGCGCAGCGCCCCCTGATCACACCTCCGCCTGCCTCGCCCTGGCGCCCCAGCCCCCCAGCGCCCCCGGCATCTACGCTCCGCCCAAATGGGTTTCAAAACGTTGATTCCCATACTGAATGCGAGCATGTTTTCTCGGAAGCTGACTCCTTGAGTTCGGGCTCCTGGGAACGTCTCGAGGAGACGAAAGACATCCTGAGGCGCGCTGCTCGCAGTCTCATGGGGCGTCTTGAGACCAAAGGGGCCAGCTCGGACTCGGAAAAGATCTTGGCGCATTGCCCTCGTGCGCGCCGCCCGCGCTCGCAATCGTTCGCTTGCTCGCCGCGCGCGTCGCGCCTGCCCGCCCCTGGAGCGCTTCCTGGACCTCGAGTTTTTAATTTGGTCTGACCTGGGCAGCTTCCATCGGCACGTTAGCACCAGCATACTACAGCGCGCGCATCCACAGCGTGAAATCGAAGATGCAGGAACAGATTCTTACTCACCTCCTGCTAAACGCTTGGCACAAGAACGTCAGTTGCATCAATACTGTTCTGCTTGGGCCTCCGGAGGCCGCCGCGCCCGTCTGGCCGGCATCTCTGACCCCCAGGGCATCGAACACTCGGACCCCGACGAAGTAGCCAGGCGATTAGCTCAGTTCTGAGGAGATGTTCATCAGGGACATCTTTGTCTGCCCGAACAGCTCGAGCATCTCCGACCGTCTGTCCAGTGAGCTCCGCCCGTGGCCGAGTGGGAGATAATGTTCGACGAATTCTGCGCCATCTTTTGCACAGTTAAGGACTCCTCTCCAGGCCCAGACGGTTTGGTCTACTCTGCTTGGTTGCGCGCAGGAAACCCGGCCCTACTCTTGCTCTTTCAAGTCCGCTGCGCACTCTTCCAGGGCCTGCGCGTGGGAGACGGTTTCAACCACGCCCTCGCTGTCTTCCTAGTCAAGGGCGAGGCCCCACCAGGCGCGTTCGCCGCCTTCCGCTCAGTGGACAAGACGAGGCCAATAACATTGAGCAACACGCGTAACAAGTTTTGTTGCCTGGCGCTCAACCATGCCATGGGCGATGCATGCCAAGTTGTTTGCTGCAGCAACCAAACGGGGTTCGCGCGGGGGGGGTCCACGTTCGACAACATGAAGGTTTAGGGGCCAGCATGCGTCACTATCTGCGTCGGCAATAGATTCCTGAGTATGGGTGTGTTCTATGCGACGTTAAGGCTGCATTCCCTAGCTTACTTCATGAATACATATGTTTAGACGCTGGATTATGGGGCTCATGGAGATTATCCCAAGGTTCCGCTGGGCCATCAAGTTGCTATACTCTCAATGTTGGGCTAGTGTATATGACTGCGACGTCGCGCCCTTCGGCTTCTGGGTGATTAGAGGCATTAAGCAGGGCTGCCCACTGCCGGCATTCATCTTCGCCCTCTGCCTCGACCCCACCCTCAGACTCATGCCCTCTCGTCTTCTTACTGACCACTCGCGGCCTGGGGCACTTGCTGGCGACGTCGGCATAGCCTGTGGAAGTTTCTACAGCACGCCGAGCATCACTCTCCTGACCTGGCGCGCTGCTGCTGGCGCTGCTGGGCTCGTTCGAAAGCTCGAGGGCATCCAGATCGCCATGCCTCGCTCGCCAGGGCATCAGCTCATCTTCAGCGGATTACGTGCGCTCGGAATTCGAGGTGGGAAGTTTCAGCTCAAGCGCGCGGGGAAATATTTTGGTCTGATCATCGGCCTCGAGGGCTGGCACCAGTCGCGGGCAGCGCCCGGCAGAAAGTTCTTCGACCGCGCGGCCTCGACGAAGGCCCTGCGCCTAGGTCTCGCAAAGGACCTCGCCAGGCACATTGCGCTTGACTTCTCCACCCCCACCTTCGTCGCTCAGTTCCACCTCCCCGACCAGAGCACTCTGAGTTTAGAGGGGCGAGGTCTCCGACCCCTGACAGAGGGCCCCCCGCATTGTCTATAGCAGCACCCCCCCACATAGCCTCAAGGATTTATGATTCCCCGCTCAGGCCCGCAACGTGTCTATTACGCTCCGGGCCCCCATGCATCGCCTAGCCATGAATCCTAATATCTCCCCGGCATGACCCACATGTTTAGCCAATGCAGTGAATCGTTTGATGGCGTTGTCGCGCGGGGGAGTCGCCCGCTGCACGTGAATCCCAGTTTCAGAAGTACCTGGCGCAATTACAAGTCGCTGCCCAGTATCCTTGAGATCCCCGCGCACGGCACGCCCGCGCTGCAGAGAAGAACGGAAGTCCTCTTGCTGAGCCGCGCCCCCGACAGCCCCTCCCCCACCATCATCGCTCGCGCCGCCCATTGGTGTCGCACCGCGCCCGAGGAAAGATCAGCTGCTGCTCGCGCTAGGTAGAATTGCCGCGTCGACGCCACCGCGCGCCTTCGCCTCTGCCCCCCGCGCGATTTGCAATGCTCGGGCGACCTCCCGACGCCTCAAACGCTTCAAAGGCCAAAGGAAGACATGTCTATTTCGTTCCAATCCAGAATGCCAGGAGCCCTTAGCACACATGCTAGAGTGCCAAGTTCTGCGCATTGCCATTGCCCCCCTCCTCCCTCGCCTTCCCCCTGCTCTCGGGTCTTGGGGCGGGCCTGCCGTTGCCGCTGGTTTCCCGCTTCTTCCTCTCCCCGACGACCAGCCGGCGTCCTTTGCCCGCCCCATTTCTGGATGTTGCCTGCAGTGGCCATCATAACTCCACAACGACACCGAGACTCCGAGGTGAGTCCAAACTCCGCCGAGCATCGAAGCCCAGAGCGTGCCAGGTCCTCAGGAGGCAACCGCTCCTCCAGAGCTACGTGCACTAGTCGAGGCGCTTCCGCTCTTTGTCGGCCCGCCCCCCCGCTTCCGCCCTTTGTCGGCCCGCCCCCCCGCCCCTCCCCCGCCCCTCTCTGGCCCGCGGCGAGTCGGGCCCAACGAGCGACCAAGCAAACGGCGGGGCGCATCCGCTGCGAATCGACGGACAGGGGCGCAGGCGGGCGAGGGGCAAGGAGAGGGAAGGCCGAGAGACCGCCGAAGAACCCTCGGGTCGCGTGGACGTGTAGGATGTGCACGGGGGCAGGCTGCCATTCACGACGCAACCATTTTCTCCCCAGACATGCGACAGCGTGATTTGTCTTATCCGCAGATCCACTGCTCCCGATCCTCTCCCCGGAAGTGAGTAGCGCTTCGCCTTGGATTCGTTTGCGTCCTGGTCTTGGGGCACGATCGGGGGCCCCAGGTTCGAACTCGAGGACACATGCCGGTATTGAAACCACTATGTCGGCGGAGATTTGCGCCCACGTGCCCCCCTTTCTGGGGAGACAAACAGGCACCGATACCGCTACTTCCCGCGCCTCTCCCCGGGTGCATTCTGGCCGGAGTGTCGATGAGAAGCTAGCCGTGGCGACGAGCCTTTTCCAGGACGAGCAGTGGCACCGGTGCTTTCTCAGATTTCGAATGCAGTTCTTGGGGGGTCAAATTCAGAGTCGGCGCTCGTGTATCCGTGGTCGGGGACTGGCGTAATCCAGCTGAATCCCGTTAAATTCGGTTTACTCCTGTTTTATCCAACGTAATCCCGATGAGCCCACCTCAATCCCGATCTCAATCTGGTCAAATTCGGTTATATGGTGTTTTTAATATGGTTAAAGCCCTTGAGAAACGTTTTGACGAAGACCTCTCAGGGGTTGCCTCCTAATTAAATCCCCTTTCCCCCTCTTTCCTCCCTCCTCTCGTTCCCCTACCGCGGCGATTCTCCGACGTGAAGCCGAGGTCGATCCGACGTGACCCGACGTGGGTCCGACGCAGATCGGGTCGCAAGTTGCCGCGCGAGGTTTCTGGGAGTCCCCTCCTAGCTCCAGTTCCCGCTCCCTTCCCCCATGGTGATGAGCCTGCTTCCCACCACCACCACCACCATAAGTTGGAGGGAGTAAGGAGGAGGAGGAGGAGGAGGAGGAGGAGGAGGAGGAGGACGAGGAGGAGGACGAGGAGCAGGAGCAGGAGGAGGAGGAGGAGGAGGACGAGGACCCCCCCCTCCAACTTATGGTGGTGGTGGAAAACACTCCCACCACATGGAAGGGGACCGCGGCCCCTCGCGAGGGAGCGCGGCCGCGCACGTGACCGTCCTCGTGGACCTGCCAGGCGGCGAGCTCCTCGCGGACCCGGGCTTCAGCGACCCGCCGCGGGCGCCGGTGCGCCTGTCGGGCGAGACGGCCGACGACCTGGCCACCTACAAGGCCCTGCGGATGCCTCGTCGTCGTCGGAGGAGAAGGAGGAGGAGGAGGGGGAGGAGGAGGAGGAGGAGGAGGAGGAGGAGGAGGAGGAGGAGAAGGAGGAGGGGGCATGGAGGGGCAGGAGGGGGGGGAGGGACAGGAGGGGGGCAGGGGGAGGAGGGAGCAGGGAAATGGGCAGGAGGAGAAGGAGGGGGCATGGAGGGAGGGGGGGACGGGGCAGCGAGGGAGAATGAGAGAGAAAGAGAGAGAGAGAGAGAGAGACAAGGACGCAGGGGCAGGATTGCGATCAGGAGCAGGAAGGACCAGGGGTCTGGGAGCTGGAGGTGCAGGGAGGAATGAGAGTAGTTGGAAGACGTTGGGGCAGTGGCGAGAACGTGATCCGATACGATTCTACATCGATTTTGGCCAGCCAGATCCGATTCGATTCCGATGGTCCGACGACCCGATGCGGCCCGATGTTCTGTTCCTGGCGTAACCGATCCGATATTCGCATGGCGCCGTTGTGCATCCTGTCGCAGCCGATCCGATTCGATTCCGACCCCGCGCCGATGCAGCCCGATCCGACGCGCGTTTCGACTCGGTCTGGTGTCCCGAGCCGATGCTCGCTGATCCTGGGCTGAGAAGACTGGAGCAAGGGCGCGAGCAGGAGGCCCTCGAGAAGCTCCCCCATGATACTTGAGGGTTCCACGAAATCGTGGGGGGCAGGGGTAGGGTTGAATCCTCTTCCTCCTCCTCCTCCTCCCCCTCCTCCTTCTCCTCCTCCTCCTCCTCCTCCTCCTCCCCCTCCTCCCCGACCCTCCTCATCCTCCTCCTCCTCCTCCTCCTCCTCCTCATCCTCCTCCGCCCCCACGCTGTTCAACTTGGCACTCGAACGTCCTGCACGTGATTTCCTACAGCTGGCTCACGAGAAACGGTGGGGCAAGGGGTTGGAAGACGGTTCTCGGCTCGCACTGTTGCTTTACGCTGACAACTTTTGGCTGGTGGCTTGCAGCGCCCCGGAATTGGCTCAGATGTCGAAGGCTTGGTTCGACATATTGCGCAATTACGGTTGGCTCGTGCCACTGGACGAGACCTCGTGGTGCACAACGGCCACGGATGATGCGTCGACGTTGAAGAGCGTGTCTGTAGACGGCGTCAGTTTGAAACGAGCACCCAGGGCGGAAGGCTTCCGAGTACTGGGTACGATCGTCACCTTCAACAACAGCCACGAGGCAGAGCTGGACAATCGCATATCTTGCGCTTGGCGCGCCTTCTACAAGTATAGGGACCTTTTGTGCTGCAGAACGACGTCGGCCAGAAAACGTTTCAGTTTGTTGCGTTCGTTGGTAAATCATTATTTATTTTGGTGTTCTGGTAGTTGGAATCTTACCGCGGCTCAAATGTCCAAACTGAGGGGGTTGCAGCAGTCGATCTTGCGGAAGATGTTTCCGCTCCGTGCGATTCCCAGTGAGACGGCCGAGAAACACATGCATCGATGGGGGGAGAAGCTCCAGCACATCAAAGATCAGTGCGGTGTCCGTGGGTGGGATGACGAATACAAGATCAACGTCTTCAGATGGGCGGGGCACATGGCCAGGATGAGGCAGCACAACCCGTCACGTCTCAGCTACTTGGTGTTCAAACACCGCGATTGGCAATGGATCCAACGCAGGGCCTCAGAGAACGAGGGTAACCAGAAGCATGGGCGAAAGCTCAGGGCGTGGAGGTGGGAGAAGACGATGTACGTGCTCTTCCGGAACAAGTCGTGGCAAGAAGCCGCCCAAGACAAACAATCTTGGGCATCCCACCTTGAGTCCATGGTGAATGGTAAATGGTCTGCACAACAGTGACATCTTCGAGTTCACGCGCAAGTGAGCTGCAGGTCGCCACGCGGCGCGGCCCCGGCCGACACCTGCCATCCCGATCCCGATCCCGATCCCGATCCCTCCTCCTCCTCCTCCTCCTCCTCCTCCTCCTCCTCCTCCTTCTCCTCCTACTGCGAGACCTGTCCCCGGAAACTTGAGACCCTTGAGGAACTTGAATCTGGCGTTGTCCTGTCGCGCCTGCCTTACGGTAGTGTGCCATACTGTGGTGCGCCGACGTTTGATTTGGTGTGCTTTGCTGCGCGGTGTGCTGTGCTGCGCCGTCGTATGCGGTCCGCGCGTTTTGCCTGAGGACTCGTCACGATGCCCGCCGTAGTTCTCAGCACCCCCGTCGGGTCGGGCTTCCCACTGCCTCCTGGAGCAGGTCCCTGGTGCAGCTGTAAGCAAGAGGACGGACATCGCAGACCGCTCCCTGCCCACATCTCCCACCGCTTCCTCCACCGCCGCCTCCTCCTCCTCCCCCCACCCCTTTTTCCTCCCCCTCCTCCTCCTCCCCGTCGTCGCCGCACTGGCGCGGCGGGCACGGCAAGGCGTCTCCCGGCCTCCTCCCTCCTCATTCTGCTCCTCCCCCCCCCCACCTCCTCCCCTTTCCTTTGCCGCCCCCCCCTCCGCCGACCTCGTCCTCGCTGTCGCCGCCATCGCCGCCTGGGCGCGGCGGGCAGGGCGAAGAGTCTGGCCGGAGCCTGTCGCATCGTCGCCCCGTCGCTCCGTGCCTGCACGCGTGAGGACGCGCCGGATGCAGGCGTGCCAGGCGCACGCGTGGTGCCCCCAGTCGGGCGCGTCCCCAGGAATTCGGCGCCTCGGGCGGCCGTTCGGTGGCCAGTCTTGGAAGTGTCGACAGGTGTCTGTATGTGTTGTGTGTTGTGTGTGTATTTGTGTGTGCGGGTGTGTGTGTGTGTGGGTGGGTGGGTGTGTGGGTGTGTGGGTGTGTGGGTGTGTAGGTGTGTGCGTGTGTGGGAGGCTGTGTGGGTGCGGGTGTGTGGGTGTGTGGGTGTGTAGGTGTGTGTTTGGGTGTGTGTGTGGGTGTGTGTGGGGGGGTATGTAGGTGTGTGTGTGTGGGTATGTGGGTGTGTGGGTGTGTAGGTGTGTGTGTGTGTGTGTGTTCGTTCGTTGCCCGCCCATAGCGGAGACACCGTGACCTCGCACCGTGTCATACCAGGTTGCACGCCACGGCAAGCAATGCCTGCTGCAGTGGATGAGGGGGAGTCATGTGTGCTTGTGTGTGTGTGTGTTTGTGTGTTGGTTGTTTTTTTGTTTATGTGTGTCGTGTGTGGGTGTGGGTGTGTGCCTGTGTGTGTCTGTGATTGTGTGTGTGTGTGTCTAAGTGTGCCTCTGTGTGTGCGTGTGTGTCTAAGTGTGCCTCTGTGTGTACGCTCCGCCGCTTGCGGTGCTGCCCCACAGGTCACCCGCGATCTCGCGCCCTCCGCCTCTCCGCCCTCGCTCCCTCCAGCCCGCTCTGGGCCCTGCTCCGCCATCGGGCTCCGCATCGCGCTCCGCCCCCCCATGCCGACCCCTCACCTCGGTGGTCCCGGGAGTCCCGCGCCCGCCGTTCCCGGGCTGCCTCGTAGGGCACCTGTGACCTCGGCATCCGCGGCGTGCATTTCGCGGTCTGCCTCGTCACCCGCCCACCTTGGGCGCTGCTCCCCCCCAGGCACCTTCGTCGGCTGCCGCGCTCCCCCCCGCGCCGCCTGGCCCCGCTGTCGGCGGCCCCGGTCTCCTCTCCCCCGCCTCCCCTCCCTCGCACATCGCGGCTTAATTCGCATCTGTTCGTCCAACATTTGCCCTTCCGCCAGCGCAGTCACTCTGCCTAACCGCCGACGCAAAAAGTCTTTGCGTGTCTGTCTGTGTGTGCATGTGTCTGTGTGCGTGTCAGATGGATGGCAGGTGAGCGGGGTATGTGGATGTGTGGGCATGTGTTTGGTGGGGCGGAGAGAAGGGGAAGGGGGGCGGCGGGGGGCAGCGGGGCCGGGGGGGAGGGGGGGAGGAGGAGGAGGAGGAGGAGGAGAGGGAGGAGGAGGAGGAGGAGGAGGAGAGGAGGAGGAGGAGGAGGAGGAGGAGGAGGAGGAGGAGGAGGAGGAGGAGGAGGAGGGGGAGGAGGAGGAGGAAGGAGTGGTGGTGGTGGGTCGGGTTGGTGTCTGTGTGTGGGTCTGTGGGTGAGCGAGTGGGTGGGTGGTAATGATGATCACTGGGGGGGGCGAGCGTCAGGCGGCGGAGGGCGGGGAGTGCTGGATGGAGGCAGGAAGGAGGCAGGCAGGTCCTCCGCCTCCTCCTCCTCCTCCTCCTCCTCCTCCTCCTCCTCCTCCTCCTCCTCCCCCCTCCCCCCTCCTCCTCCTCCTCCTCCACCTCCACCTCCTCCTCCTAGGAACGGGAATGCGAACACAACCACCGCCAGGGGTGACGAAAAATCTTGTATGGTGCTGCGTTGGGTGTTCCTCGTTTAGTGATGCGCCGATGTGAGCATACTGTTGACCGAGATTCGACTTTGACACCCCAAAGTTAGACTCGTGCGTGAAAGGGGGCGGACGCTGGAAGTACCAACGCGTCTAAGCATAATGATCCGCCCCTCCCTGCCTGGAGGGTACTCCTCAGGAGCGAAAGAAGGACGTACACGTACATGAATCCACGCCGTTTTCGAAATTTCGCATTGCGCGAATACTCGTATCACGCGGCCAGTCTCGCGGGTCAAGGGGCCGTGTTCATGTACATAGCTGGGCGCGTACGTCCTTTGTGGGTTCCCTAACTCCCGCGCAGGGCAAACAGAACCGGTTCATTCCCCATCCCCCCTTCCGGCCCGGCAGATTTTCCCCAGCCCCCGAACCGTCTCCAAAGTGTGCTGAAACAGATCCCAACGAATGCCCAAGTGTGTAGCCATCCCCCCTTCGGGTCCGGCAGATTTTCCCCAGCCCCCGAACCGTCTCCAAAGTGTGCCGAAACAGATCCCAACGAATGCCCAAGTGTGTAGCAAGACACCTTCTTTGCGGCGGCGAGGCAGAGAAGCTGGACCACCAGGCGGCGATTCGGAGCGACCGATACGCGAATTGGCTGGCGCGCAAGGGGAGCAGGGCAGAAGGGGCGGCCGCGGAGGACGGGAGGAGGCAGAGGGCAGTCAGACGCGGAAGGATTCCAAGCTCAGCGCGCCGGCGCGGCCAGCAGCGGCAGCGGGGGCCGTGGCAGCAGCCGGGCCGAGGCGTCGGCGCACCCACGGGCGCTGCCGATGCTCAGTACGAGGCAGTAGAGCACGTACCCCAGATGGTGTTCAAAATTGTACGCACACGGTGTTCCAAATTGGACCCTCGTTGCACCCAGAGACACCCCGGGAAAAGTGTGTGTGTGGGGGGGGGTCATGTGTGGAGGTAGGTTGGGGGGTGATCTGGAGGTGGGGGACAGGGGAGGCTATGTTTTGGCTGTCCTTGGGGGCTCGTTGGGTGAATCTGCTGGGCCGAAGGGGTGGGGGTGGGGGTGGGGGATGGTGGGGTGAGAGTCAGTGGGTGGGGTAAGGTGGGGTGGGTGGATGGGGGGAGGTGGAGTGGTGGTGGATGTGGTGCGCGGGGGTGGGGTGGGTGAGAGGTGGGTGGGGGGGTGGAGGTGGGTCAAGTGAGCCAGTTCGAACGAGCCAGAGGGCTCCGTCCACCCCCACCCGCCCTCCCACAACATACGAAGCAAGTGCGTCGCGTCCGACGCTTGGCGCTCATCTTATTTCGTTGTCGGCTAGATGTTCAGCGCGCGACATGAGCTGCGTCCTATTCCCGCCGCGCGTTGAGCAATGTCGACGAGGCCCGCCCAGCTCTCCAACCCGACGGGCCGCAACGTCGACGACAAGAAAGTCCATGTTGACGAGCAAGCGTCCCCGCGCGATGCGCGACGCGACCCATTCCACTGCGCGATTCGCAGCGCCGACAAGGAGAAAACACATGTTGGCAAGAAAACTGTCGACGTTGCGGTGTATTTTGACAGGTAGGACGGGGGGTCCCGCGCAGGGTTGGCCAAGCGTCCGCGCACGATACGCGCCGCGCCCCATTCCTGCTACACGCTTCGCAGCATCGACGACACGAAAGTCCATGTTGACGAGAAAAACGTTGACTGTGTATTGTTCTTTGATGGGTAGGACGCGACCACCCGCTTAAGGTTACCCAAGCGATGTTCATTCCGTTTCACTCCTGCTACACATTTCGCAAGTCGACGACATGCTGGCGAGAGAAAAGTTGAATGTGTGCTGTTTTTTGACAGTTGGGACGGCGGGGTTGCTATCGGCCGGCTGGGTGGGGATGTGGGGGTGGTTAATCACAGGAAGTAACGATAGGCGGGTGGGACGGTGGGGGGGGTGTTGTTCGTTGACCCACACGCAATGGGCCACAGGCTTGGATCAATAGTGGGATGCTGCCCACAATGGGGCGTCAACCGAGCGAGCCCTTGTCTGTGCTAGTTGGTGTCATGTGTTGTGTAGGTGTTGTGACTGTGTGTGTTGGTTGTGTGTGTGTTGCTGCGCGCTCGTGATGTTAGTTTGGTAAGTTGGCTCGTGCGTTGGGTTGTGTTGTTCCCACGTGTTGCTTCACATTTGCCCATGTGGGTTCTTGCTAGTTATGTGCTTGTTTGTGCTGCCTGCGAATGGCATATACTGGTGTTAGATCTTACACGACATGGCTTGCTTTTACACAGATTCAGTCGCAGAGCTTGCACCCCATGGCTTACACCACATAGTCTGCACCGCATAGTTTGCACCACACAGTTTGCACCACAGAGCGTGCACCATACAATTTGTACCACATCGCGAACGCCTCGTATATTACACAGCATCGAACACATCGCGAACATTGCACAATATAGCGTGCACCACACAGCTCGTACCGAATATAGCCATCATGTAGATGACCTCGCGGTTGTGCAATAACCTGTCGTTTGGGACCCATGCTGGCAAACATGTGCAGATCAGACATGAGGAGGAGGAGGAGGAGGAGGAGGAGGAGGAGGAGGAGGAGGAGGAGGAGGAGGAGGAGGCTGCTGCCGGAGACCCCTGCGGTCGAGGGCCAAAGGCCCGACTATGCCAGTAGAGAGCTCTCGACTGGAGCCCTCCCCTAGCAGCCTCACCCTGAGGATTCCGCGGGGGGGAGGAGTTGGTCCACACATCCTCATCAGGCTCCTCTTCATCCCTGCTCTTACCTCCCCTTCCTCGCCCCTCCTCCCGCCTCATCCCTCCTCGCTCCTCCTCCCCTTCCGATGTCCCCCATTCCGCCCTCCCTGATGGAAGGAAGAGAGGGAGAGGGAAGGCGAGGGATGGAAGGAGGAAGTGGGAGGGAGGGAGGGGAGGTAGGCGTAGGGAGGTTTCCTCCTGCCCCCCCCCCCCAAGACATCCGACATGTGTTGTCAACACGAAGTCCTCCAGAAGTCCCGACCCTTTCATCAGGGCGAACTTTTCATCCCGAGTCATTGTTTCTGACGGCCCCAGAGCCAGAAGACGGCCCCCAGACCAGCCTCGAGTTCTTCAAGGCGCTGAATGTCCTATGCTTGTCCCTCATCCCTGTTCCTCCCCCCTCCGCCCTCCTCCCCCCTTGGGTTCGGATCGGGATCTTCTCCTCCTCTTCCGACACCCCTCTTCCTCATTCTCTGAGGTTGAGGGAGGAAAGGAGCAGGGCAGAGGGAGGAATGCCCCCTTCCCTGAAAATCCGGCGCTTTGTTTTTTCAATGCAGGGTCCCTGGAAGTCCTGACCCTTTCCCCAGGTTTGGCCTCTCATCCCAGGTCGTCGTTCGGCGGTCCCTGTGCCCGGCGAGGGGGCCCCCGCCCGAAACGGCCCAGAACTGTTGGTCGCGCTTCTGTCGCGATGCGGGCATCTCTGGGCCTCTTCCCTCCCCCCCCCCGCCACGAGACTGTTCTTATTCGGTGAACCCGCAACGTTCGTGAAGCTTGGCATCGCTCGGACGTGTGCATCTTTCCTGCGGCGAGGACCATCGAGGAGCATCCCTGATCCTTTGGCGGAAAAAAGCCACGCACGAAACCGAAAAAAACACAGGGAATGGACGTCCGAGCGATGGCCAGTGAAGAGCGCCCCCCCCCTCCTCCCCCCCTTTCGCGGCAGCGGCCCCGAGCGTTCGCGGGGGGGGGGGGGGGGGCGACCGGTCCCCCCGCAGGCACGGCGCGGTGCCCACAGGCGTGCTGCGGTGTTAACATTACCAGCCTGGAACATATCCCTATCCCTATGCTGGGAACCTCCTCATCACGATGCCAATCTTAGGGATTCCCTTATTTTGGGGGGGGCGAATCCCTAAGATTGTCATCGCCGTTTGGCGTGTCGATCTTAGGGACAGGGATACGTTCGAGGCTGGTAATAACAGGCATGCCTTGGTGCGCACAGGCATGCTGTGGCGCTCGCAGGCCCGACCCCCCCCGCTCCCCCCGGTAACGGACGTCACGGGGGGATCTAAGGAAAAAGGGGGGGCGACACAAAAAAAATATCCCAGTGCGACCCTACCTGGGAGTTGGAGCCCCTAGGAAAGCAGCATTAGTAGTAACAGTAAAGCTGAGCTAAAGCTGAGCTAAAGTTAGCTAAAGTTAAGCTAAAGCCAAGCTAAAGCTAAGCTAACGCTAAGCTAAAGCTAAAGCTAAAGCTAAAGCTAAGCTAAAGCTAAAGCTAAAGCTCCCAGGGGACTGGGGGAACCGCGGGGCGGGAACTGGGGGAACCGCCCAGGGCGAGTTGCACTGCCCAGCCCCTTTAAGAAAGAGAGTAAGAACCCTCTAGGCAGAGGCTAGGTAGGGAATCAACCTGAGCTAAGATGAAGCTAAGTTAAGCTAAGATGAAATCAGCTAAGCTAAGATGAGATACGCAACGCTAAGCTAAGGGAACGTCACTGGGGGAACCGCGGGGCGGATGCCGGGGGAACCGCCCGGGGCGTGCCCCACTGCCCGGCCCTTTAAGCACACAGAGTAAGAACCCTTCTAGGCAGAGCCTGGGTAGGGAACAAAAAGACAGCACACACACAAAAAAACTAAAACTCCCCCCGTAACGGATGTTACGGAGGGAATTGAAGTAAAAACAAAAAACACCTTTGCCAGGTTGGCTTTAGGGCCAGAATGCCAGATTGGAATGCTCGCCAGATTGGGAGCTTCCCCCCCAAAGGGATGCGCCAGAATCTTGTTTCAGCATCTGCCAGGTTGGGCCGCATGCCAGATTGCCTCTTCAAATGATATGTATTATGTTGGGGCCGTTTACCAGATTGCCAGATTGGCTCTCGCCAGATTAGATCAGACCGACTCTCTCGCCAGATTGCCAGATTGAACCCGCCAGATTGGCGCCAGATCGGCTTCGACTACCCAGTTTGGGGCTTGAACATGGTCCGCCCCCCGTCGGCGAGGTGGAGTTGAGCGAGGGCTCCGGGGCGCCCGACGGCTTCGACACAGTCCTGACGCGCGCCCGGGGTGCCGGGTCGCTCAGCAGGCTCGGGTCGGACGAATCGTTCTGTTCCCTCGTCTCCTCCCTCTCCCACCTTCCCTTTTTTCCTCCCTCTCCCTCCCTCTGCTCCATCCTTCCTCTTTTTCTCTCGTCCTCTTCCTCCTCCTCCTCCTCCTCCTCCTCCGCCTCCTCCTCCTCCTCCCCCTGCTCTCTTTCCTCCTCCTCCTCCTCCTCCTCCCCGTCTACTTCTGACGCTCGGCTGCGTGAATGGCGTCCCTGTTTCTAGCCGTGTTGTCCCTACGATACCCGGCCGCATCTTGCATGTGATGGTCGAAAATGTTACAGCGAGGCTCGACATCTCCAACATTCACGTTCCACGACCTTTCGAGGGGCCAGGTTGCTTCTGTCGCTCGTGTCATCCAGATTGTGAAGGATGTCGCGGACGCCGACCCAACGAGGCGTAAGGTGGTGGTCTACGGTGACTTCAATTTCTCGTCCGAGGAGTCTGTGGTCCTCAGCATGCCGCGGGCTGCTGTGCGCTGTGCCGTTCGCCAGCACCACGCCCGTGCTGAACAGTGGCGCCGTGTGCTCGCCACGCTCGCGGAGGTTGAGTGTGACTCCCCGACGCACATTGAGAAAAGCACAAACGTTGAAGCTTACATCGATAGTCTGTTCGTCAACGTCGCAGCGTGGCAGCTGTGTCAGCTCTTCATCCAGGCCACCACCGTCGACTCCCCTGCGTCGATTTCGGACAAGTAGATCTCTGACTATGCAGCAATCGCCTTCTCGTTCACCCCATCGGCATCCCCGCTCACCTTGACAGCGCCCCAGGCGGCGTTTGCAAGCTATGGTGGACGATGCTGGACTTGATGAACTCTCGCCACCGTGTCGTCTGGAGCGCTTCACAGGGTTAGTTAAGGAAGCCGCCATGCAGACCAGGAACCCCCTGTTTCGCTCTCATCCTCACCACCCTCGCCTTCAGCTGCAGCTCGCTCCTGCCATTGCTCGTGCTGTCTGGCGTCAGGACACGGCCTGGCTCATAAGCCTATCGATTCCCGCTCCCTGGCTCGGGACTTTGTCGAGTGCTCTGGTGGTCGCGCTGCCTTAAGACATCCTGAGTCGTTCCAGAAACAGTCGGTTCGGGGCCAGTTGGAGGCTGCGGAGCTGTCTCGGGAGGAGGTCAAGAAAAGGAGGGAGTGGGAGGGGAGATTCACCAACTTCGTTGTCTTGCGAGGTCTCCCGATAGGCGTGCGAGGATATGGTCTCCGCATAGTCGACGTGAAGCTCGAGTGCGTCAACGGCACTTTGAGTAGACCCTCATTCGGGTTCCAAGGTCCAGTGTGAGGCGGGGGGGGGCACTCCTGACACGTTTTTACTTACCAAGGTAGCCTCGAGCTTTGGTTCCGTGGAGCATTCGGAATGTTCTCCTCCCAGCAGGTCCGAAATTTTGAAAAGGAATGTGGAGGGAGCCGCAGTCGTAATAAGGCGCGGGGGAATACGTGCACAGAGTAGATGCTGGACTCTTGCCAACAGTTCGACCGTTGCCGTAACGACGAACCAGAGGCTTAGTATGGCGGTTCAATGTGCATCGCTTCGCGAACTCACCATTGCTATTTCCATTTCCATCTCTCTCCCTGCTCCTTCACCTTCTCCTCCCCCCCTCCTCCTCCTCTCTCATCCTCCTCCCGATCCTCTCTCCTCTTTCCGCCTCTCCCCCCCAGAGACGCAGGAAGAGGAAGAGGAAGAGGAAGAGGAGGAGGAGGAGGAGGAGGAGAGAAAGATGAGGAGGAGGAGGAGGAGGAGGAGGCAGGGGAGGGGAATGCGGAGTTCGAGGTTTTGGGCGTTCTCGTGAGTGCCCAGACGGTATCGGCCGCTGCGCCGCGCCGAGGGCGTTCCCGCGCTGTGGCCCGGGAATCACGGGCTGTCCGGCCAGTTTGGGGTGCCTCACAAATGGCATTGACGGCCGTCAACAGAAGGCAAGGGCTCCCACGAGGGCGCGAAGTTATTCGCGCTTCGCGGTCCTCGTTCCCCCTCCCCCTCCTCCACGTCCTCCTTTCCTCCCGTGCGGGGGGGCGGCACGAGAGCGCGAAGTTATTCGCGCTTCGCGGAGCGCGAAGCGCGAAGCTGGGAGCCCCTGAGAAGGGGCTCAGGACGAGAAGGGGCTCAGTCGGGTGTTGCTAGAAGTGCCCCTGGCCCGAGGTGCCCCCAGGATTTTCAAGGAGGCCCCCACGGTCTCCAGAGCACCCCTCACGAGGCCAAGGGGGCCCCGGGGGCTCCAAAATGGAGCGAAACTATGGGGGCACCTTGGGCCAGGGGCACTTCTAGCAACCCCCGAAACAGAAGGGGCTCAGGACGAGAAAGCGGTCCTCCAGAAGGGGTCTGGGCCTCAGGGGGTCGCTCGGCAGGCACGCGTGGAGCCCGGACGACGCCGCGCTGGACGCGCAGGACCCCCGGGGGGCGTGCGGGCCCTGCAGGGTGCCAGGCCGCCCAAGGCGCCCGAGTGGAGTCCGCGGCGTGGATCTACGCTTAAGTCGGGCCTGTCCCTCTACAGGGGGAATATTCAAAAATAGTAGAAAAATAGTCAGTGTATTATTCCCAACCCTCCTGCGTTGGGTTCTCGTTTTGAATAGAGCACTGCTCGCGCGTCTCCTTTCTTCCTTCCCGCCCCTCTCTTACCCCTTGCCTTTTGCCTCGCTCGTCGCTGCGTGCCAGCTGGGGGGCTGCGATCTGTGAAACTGTCGCCACTTTCGAGGCCTGCTGGGGGGCCCAGCACAGTGGGTACACACGGCGGATTGAAATTGCACCTCGCCATCCTTGGGGGGCTGCGATCTGTGAAACTGTCGCCGCTTTCGAGGCCTGCTGGGGGGCCCAGCACAGTGGGTACACACGGCGGATTGAAGTTGCACCTCGCCATCCCTGGGGGGCTGCGATCTGTGAAACTGTCGCCATTTTCGAGGCCTGCTGGGGGGGCCAGCACAGTGGGTACACACGGCGGATTGAAATTGCACCTCGCCATCCCTGGGGGGCTGCGATCTGTGAAACTGTCGCCACTTTCGAGGCCCGCTGGGGGGCCCAGCGCAGTGGGTACTCACCGCAGATTCAAATTAGACCTCGCCATCCCTGGGGAGCTGCGATCTGTGAAGCTGTCGCCACTTTCGAGGCCTGCTGGGGGGCCCAGCACAGTAGGTACACACGGCGGATTGAAATTGCACCTCGCCATCCTTGGGGGCTGGATTACACTTTACGGCGGATTGAAATTGCACCGTCGCCATCCTTGGGGGGGGGCAAGTTAGTCCTCGCATCCCTGGGGGGCTGCGATATGTGAAACTGTCGCCACTTTCGAGGCCTGCTGGGGGGCCCAGCACAGTGGGCACCCACGGCGGATTCAAATAGACCTCGCCATCCCTGGGGGGCTGCGATCTGTGAAACTTCGCCACTTTCGAGGCCTGCTGGGGGGCCCAGCCACCGGGAGTACACACCGCAGATTCAGATTCGACCTCGCCATCACCCGGGGGCTTGCGATCTGTGAAACTGTCGCCACTTTCGAGCCTGCTGGGGGGCCCAGCACCGGGGGGCCGCACCTCAAATTAGACCTCGCCATCCCTGGGGGGCTGCGATCTGTGAAACTGTCGTACTTTCGAGGGCTGCTGAAGGGCCCAGCACAGTGGGTACTACCGCAAACTCAGATTCGACCTCGCAATCCCTGGGGGGCTGCGATCTGTGAAACTGTCGCCACTTTCGAGGCCTGCTGGGGGGCCCAGCACAGTGGGTACTCACCGCAGATTCAAATTAGACCTCGCCATCCTGGGGGGCTGCGATCTGTGAAACTGTCGCCACTTTCGAGGCCTGCTGGGGGGCCCAGCACAGTGGGTACCCACGCAGATTCAAATGGGACCTCGCCATCCCTGGGGGGCTGCGATCTGTGAAACTGTCGCCACTTTCGAGGCCTGCTGGGGGGCCCAGCACAGTGGGGCCACCGCAGATTCAAATTAGACCTCGCCATCCCTGGGGGGCTGCGATCTGTGAAACTGTCGCCACTTTCGAGGCCTGCTGGGGGGCCCAGCACAGTGGGTACCACCGCTGATTCAAATTAGACCTCGCCATCCCTGGGGGGCTGCGATCTGTGAAACTGTCGCCACTTTCGAGGCCTGCTGGGGGGCCCAGCACAGTGGGTACTCACCGCGGACTCAAATTAGACCTCGCCATCCCTGGGGGGCTGTGATCTGTGAAACTGTCGCCACGTTCGAGGCCTGCTGGGGGGCCCAGCACAGTGGGTACTCACCGCAGATTCAAATTAGACCTCGCCATCCCTGGGGGGCTGCGATCTGCGAAATTGTCGCCACTTTCGAGGCCTGCTGGGGGGCCCAGCACAGTGGGTACTTACCGCAAACTCAAATTAGACCTCGCAATCCCTGGGGGGCTGCGATCTGTGAAACTGTCGCCACTTTCGAGGGCTGCTGAGGGGCCTGGCACACTGGGTACTCACCGCAGACTCAGATTAGACCTCGCCATCCCTGGAGGGGCTGTGATCCGTGAAACTGTCGTCACTTTCGAGGGCTGCTGAGGGGCACAGCACAGAAGGTATTCACCGCAGACTCAGATTAGACCTCGCCATCCCTGGGGGGCTGCGATCTGTGAAACTGTCGTTACTTTCGAGGGCTGCTCAGGGGCCCAGCACAGTGGGTACTTACCGCAGACTCAGATTAGACCCCGCAATCCCTGGGGGGCTGCGATCTGTGAAACTGTCGCCACTTTCGAGGGCTGCTGAGGGGCCCAGCACAGTGGGCTTCCCGCACCTCGTTCTCCTGCTCTTCGTTCCCGACTCCCCATGTCCTCTTCGAGCCTGTAGGTGTCGCCCCTCGTTCTTGTACGGTTCTCCTGCACATCATTCCATAGGCGCGTGTCCCAAGTAGCTTACATATCAAACAATGGATCCTGCAATTTGATTGTCCATGCAAGTTTCGGCCAACTCATCGTTTCCCATGATACAATTGGGTTGGGTACGTCACAGGGTATTTGTTTAGTATTGTTTGACAAGTTTGGCGTATTTGTCCGTATCTTTTATTTTTCATCGAAAATCCCTTTGTATGGGGACACGCCCGACTTAAATTGACGCACCGTAGGGACCTCGGCAGGCGGCGCATATGGAGACATCAATGTAGAGCATGTAAACATATGCATGCATGTTCGCCTGTATGGAGATATGCGAAAGCATGCCTACATACACGTACATGATCATACATGTGCACATGTGCATAGACACGCACGCATGTATGTATGTGTAATGATATATGATTATATAGATTGATGTACAAGGCTGCAGTGGCGCTTCGCGCCAGCACCTTGGTCCTTGAAGTTTGCCATGCAGGCGGAACGGCAGGAAGGTCAAGCCAACCATTTAGCGATAAGTTCTTGCTGATTTGTTTCCGGCCTCGCCGTTACAATAATGTTATTCGTTATCCCTCCTCTACATGTTGTTTTTCTTCATTCTCGCCATACCCTGCGTATTCTCCCCATCCTCCTCAGCTCTCTTTGCAGAGGCTCCTCCTGGGAGAGCCGTCCGGTTTTCTTAAGGCTTTCTGGAGGCCTCCTTGGCGTCTTTTGGGAGCCTATAGGGGCCTCCTCGGACCACCCTGCCTCCAACCACGGTCTATCTGAACGACCGGCTCACGATTTGGAATGTTTCGGAGGGCGTCTTGGGGCCATTTTGGGCCGTCATGGGGCTCTCTTAGGCCATCTTGGAACCCTGTTGTGCCGTCTTGGGGCTCCCTTGGATTGCCTGGAAGCCCTTTCAGATGGTTGTGGGGGGCGATGTTCGAGCCTCCCAGGCGGCTTCGGACGCCCAGAAGACCGCCGTCTTGGAGCGTCGGGGAGCCGAAAAGAGGATAACCCAAAAATTCACCAACGACCAATTGCAAATCAATGATTTTTGCCTCTTGGGGTCTATTGGAAGTGCTCTTGGAGGCCTCTTGGGGCGTTTTGGAGCGATCTTTGGGGGGGGTCGTTTCGGGAGCGCGCAGGAACGCCTGGAGCCCTCTGGGGCCGTCTTCGGGTTCTCGTGGGTTTCTCCCGAGTCGTCCGGCGGGTTGCCCGAGAGGCCCGGGGTGGGCCGAATTCGTTCGAGGGGGGTGGGGTTCTGGGATCCCCCGGTCTTATTAAAAAATATGATTCGGAAAATTAATATACACATATACGTGCAAAGAATACATGTCCGTATACGTAGCTACATAGATCAAGTCCGTACATTCGTGCATGCATACACACACACCTACCAGACTACATACATCATGTACGTACATGTGCACATTCTACATTCTACGCGGCTTCAGCACGGGTGTTGCGCTGTGCGCGGCAAACCAGGGCTTGGCGTGGCGCCTCGCGCGCAGCTGCGCGCCAATGTTGCATTGCCCCGAGGTGCGGTGCGACTGTTCGGGCCGGAACGGCGCGAGCAGCGCTGGGCCCAGCCTGTGGGACCCCCCCCGGGAGGCCGCCGCCGGGACCCCCCCCACCCCAGCGGGGAAGGGATCAAAGGGAAGGGGCGTCCCTTCGATTCAACTACAACTTTGCTGAGATTCGACGGCCTCTTCCACACGCCGACAGGGGTCGGCGGATTCCCGCGTGCTGCTCGCGGGTCCCAGACGTCACGCCCGCTTCGCGAACCGCGAAGTTCCTGCCCGTGTAGAGGGCTTGAAGAGTTGCCGACATTTTCTCTGGGACCCCGGAACGCTGCAATGCTCTCAGCAGATGCCCCGGCATGACGCTACAGTCGGGGCGCTGAGGAAGGAACCCTTTTCGTTGGGGAGGGGCTCGGTGTTCTTTAAGTGTTTCACCGCTTGCCTCAGGTTTTCCTTTTGTTTTCGATGGGAAGTCGAAGTTCAACTTATGGAAAAAAGAGGCCTCGTTCCTTATTTAGGGTTCCTTAGGTCAACGCCCCGACTCTATCGAACGCCTTGGCCCAGTCCAGGGCGAGAAGCACGAGCTGGCCTGCTGCGCCCGCCCACACGCTTCCTCCAGCCTCCGCCCAGCAAGGAAGATTGCGTCTGTGGTTCCGCGGCGCGACTTGAAGCCAAACTGGGTGCCCCAGATTCGGCGACTACAAGGGGTGAGGTTACGCTGGGGTATGGTTTGCGATCGGCGCCGTTGGGGCCTGGGGGGCACGACACTGCCCTCGTCGGGCCTCCTCGGGGCGCGGCGGAGAGCTCTGTTGGGGTCCCCGCCCGCCCCCCTGGGTGCCCCCCAGGGTGCCAGTTGCAAACCACACCCTTTGCAAACCATACCCTTCGGAGTCGCCGACAGATGCGGCCCCTCGGCCCCGGCATCCTTCAGGCGGAGGAGGAGGAGGGGTAAACCCGTTCCACGGATAGAAGAAGAATAAGATGGGGCTGTGTCGGACGAGGGAAGAAAACACTGGATGAACCACTTCCGTCAAAAGGGCTGGTGGAAGTTGGTGGGATTATGGTGGCAGGGGGAAAGATGGAGGAGGATGAGCAAGATGAGCAGACTTATTATGCACTGCAGGAAGAGAAGGGTGCCAGTGAGGGAGGAAGAGCTCTCGGAATATTGGATGAAGGGCGCCAGAGTCTGACATCTGATGTGTAGATGCCAGCGGAACGCAATAAGCCAGAGTCGTGTGCTGTGCTCTGGTGTCTGGAATGTTCAGTGTCGAGACCCGACTCGTCAGATTCGACAGCGCAGTGGCCAAGCCTCTGGTCCGAGGCTCAATGAGCAAGTCGGGCCGTGGTGCCCCTCTTCAGGCCCCCAGGGTTTGTCGGCCTCTCGGTGAATCCGCCCTTGGTGAAGGCAAGCCCAGGCCAGGTTCAGATCGGGAGCCAGGTCACCAGACAGTGCTGAGATACAGTACGGTGGTATCGATGGCCAAGCCTCAACTCGTGATCCCCTAGCTTCCAGACCCCGTGTTCCTTATCGAAGAGTTCCTCATCCCACGCCCTCACCATAGGCGCGCGAAGGAAGAGAGGGGCTTGCCGTCGAATAACCCACGAGAGCGTCTCATCCGACGGCGGGCCAAGGGACCCATGCCGTGCCCTACGAAGCTCAAGGTCGACGAAGGATGTGACCCTGGATTTCTTGTGGCAGGGTCCCGGGTCGTGTCTGCCCCTCCCTCATCCCCTCCCTCCTCCTCCTCTTCCTCCTCCTCCTCCTCCTCCTCCTCCTCCCTCCTCCTCCTCCTCCCTCCTCCTCCTCCTCCTCCTCCTCCTCCTCCTCCTCCTCCCTCCTCCCCTCCTCCTCCCTCCCCTCCTCTCCTCCTCTCCCTCCTCCTCCTCCCTCCTCCCTCCTCCCTCCTCCCTCCTCCCTCCTCCCTCCTTCCCTCCTCCCTCCTCCCTCCTCCTCCTCCCTCCTCCCTCCTCCCTCTCCCTCCTCCCTCCTCCCTCCTCCTCCTCCTCCCTCCTCCCTCCTCCCTCCTCCTCATCCTCTCCTCCTCCTCATCCTCATCCTCCTCCTCCTCCTCCTCATCCTCCTCCTCGTCCTCCTCCTCCTCCTGCTCCTCCTCTCCTCCTCCTCCTCCTCCTCCCTCCTCCTCCTCCTCCTCCTCCTCCTCCTCCTCCCTCTCCCCTCCCTCCTCCCTCCCCCCCATCCCTCCCTCCCTCTCCCCTGTCCCCTCACAGGAGGCGACCTCGTCGGCCGTGTACGCCTTCCGCCAGTCGGACGACCTCGGCGACGAGGAGCTCCAGGCTGCCCTGCAGGCCTCCCGCGCAGCCTCGGGCCGCCTCTACACGGATCAGCGCCTGGTCTTCCTTGCCACCCCGAGGGGCCACGTGTCGCTGAGCGAGCGGAAGTTCCGGAAGGTGGTCCGCGGAAGGCATCTATACACCACCGCAATGCCTGGCCAGGGCAGCCTTTGCGCCCCATGGTGGTGCACTGGCCCTCCCGGCCTCGGCCAGGACTGCGCAATTCACACAGACAACCGACCCCGGCACTGTTCCACAGCGTGGGCCCCCAGCGGTCCAGACCTTTGCCCTCGGACCAGCTTGTCATCCTATGTTGTGCTCTGTCGGCCCTGGGGCCCCAGGGAGCCGAACATTGCGAAAACGAAAGCGTCGTGACTGTCTTCACGGCGCGAGGAGTCCAGGGCTCCATGCCAGGGATCGGGATGGCCCGGGTCGGGCACGGCGGTGGTGCACAGACGCCTTCTGGCGCCAAGGTGGAGGGCGGCACGGCGGCGCCCTCTGAAGTCTCGGCCGCCGATTGCCGCCGAGCGGTCGCCGACGTGCCGCCGAGCGATCGGCCGCCGACTGCCCGCCGATCGGCCGCCGATTGCCCGCCGACCGACCGATCGGCCGCCGATTGCCGCCGAGCGATCCGGGATGGACCGCTCCGACCTCCCGGCCTGGCGGCGTGCCCGTGCTCCAGGGGCGGACAGCGCGTCGGCCCGGGTCGGGTCGGCCAGCAGAGCCGACGAGCAAGACGATTGCACAGCATTGGTTGCATCTGCATCTGTTCTGTCTCTCAGTGGGCTTTCCTTTGCACCTTCGCGGGGCCTGTCCAGTCCTGTCAGAATCCAGGCCTCGCAGGTGGGGTCCGAGCAGATGGGGTCGGAGGTTCGCGCCGCATCGCCGATGCATCGGCGATGCGGCTCGATGTGGAGCCCGACTTCCTCCACGCCGACGTCGCTGATGCATCGTTAACGTCGCCAGTGCATGGCCTATGCATCGGCGATGCATCGCCGATGTGTCGGCGATGCGGTGAGATCCACCGACTCCATCTACTCGGACCCCATGTAGGAGGCCTCTACAGAATGGCAGTACTTTCGTGTACTCCGACACGGGTTCGACTCGGATTCGACACGGATTCGACGCAGATTCGACATGGAACCGACACGGATGGCTGGCGCGATAGGACGGACAGAGGAGATCCCCCAAAGATGCATCCTAAAAGGGCTTTGGAAACGGCATGGTCGATTTGTCCTATACTCTTTTCGTCAAAAAACGTTCAACGAAATGGTTTAACATATCTTTGCGAAGGACCCAGCCATGTGCAGTTGGGAGTACCGCGTTGTGGGTACCGCTTTCGGTGGAGCTCTCTAAGGGGCCACGAAGCGGTGGGTGGTGCCGTGCAAACGCACCCATTGTGGCCTTCGGTGGAGCCCCCGTATAGGCCACGAAACGTGTGAGGTGTGTGCCGAAACGGGTTCGGCGGCGCCAGGCGAACGCAGCTACTACGGCCTTCGGCGGAACTCCCATACGGGCCACGAAACGTGTGAGGGGTGTGCCGAAACGGGCGCGGCGGTGCCTTGCGATCGCAGCTATTGGTGCCTTTGACAGAACTCCTTCTGGGGCACTGAAACGTGTGAGGGTGTTCCGAACTGGGCACGGCGGTGCTATGCGAACGCAGCCACTGGCTCCTTCGGTGGAACTCCCTGTGTGGCCACGAAGCATGTGAGGCGTGTGCCGAAACGGGCGCAGCGGTGCCATGCGAACGCAGCCGCTGGGGCCATCGGTGGAGCTCCCTATAGGGCCACGAAGCGCGTGATGTGATGGGTGTGCCGACATGGGCGCGGGGGTGCCACGCGAACGCAGCTACTACGTACGGCCTTCGGTGGAACCCCAGTATGGGGCCACGAAACGTGAGAGGCGTGTGCCAAACTGGGTGCGGCGGTGCCATGCGAACGCAGCCATTGGGGCCTTCGGTGGAGCTCCTGATGGGGCCACGAAACATGTGATGGGTGTGCCGAAACAGAGACATCCAGAGGGCAGAGGCATGGATTGCAGGGATGCGAGTCGGAAAACGAGTAGGAAGAAGGAGGAAGGAGGAGGACGCGGGGCGCTATCTCTTCAAAACGAGGACCCAACACAACAGAATGGTTGGGAACAATAGTTCACCGAAACGGCATGGGCAGTCCTGGAATCCGAAGGACTTTCGAGCTTGTTCGAAAACGGTCCGGATACGGTCAACAAGTTGTGATTTGGACCAGGCTCCCACAAGGGGAAACGAGAACGGCAAACCAACGGCGCCAGAAGCATCAACAAGAACGGCGGTGGAAGCGGCCACAAAAACGACAAATCGAACACGATCGAAAAGCGTCGTGCCGTTTCCAGGACCAAGTAGGCGCGAGCCCCACTTGCTTATCGCCCCCCCCCCGTAAGCGCCGCCCGAGACGATGGCACAGTATTGACTGCATCTGTCTGTCAGCGTCTCGCCCGCCGGCCAGCGGATGCCCTGCGGCGACCCTGGCTCGGCACGGAGAGGAGGAGGAGGAGGAGGAGGAGGAGGAGGAGTCTGGCGTCAGGGGCGGGCAGCCCTGGCGCACCGCCCCCCAGCGGCAGCGGCGGTGGAGACGGGAGGCCATCTTGGGGTTTGATGGGGCCATCGTGGCCATTTTGGAGACCATGTTGGCCGTCTTGGAGGCCATATTGTCCGTGGAGTAACAGTTTTTGCGAGTCTCCGGATGGTCAGCGAATTAGGCCGAAATACTATTGCAAAGAGCTCGTTCTGTGGTCGCTTGGAGGGGGGGTGGGGTTTGAAACCCGACTCCCCCCCCTGGATGGAGGGGGGGGGCGTTCGAACCCCCCCCCCCTTACCCTTACCCACCCCCCCCTCCCGTGACGGAGGGGGGGGGGTTCGAACCCCCCCCCACCCCCTTTCCCTTCCTGCCCTGCGTCCCTTCTCCTCGGGCCAGCGCTTGCGTCGGCGGCGGCTGCCGGCGGCAGCGGGGACGACGATTTCCTTTTCTGGGCCGGCGCCGGCGCCTGCGGCTGCGGGCGGCGGCGGCGGGGAGCGTCGACGAGGACGACGGTGACGGTGGTGGTGGTGGGTTGTAGTGGTGGTGATGACGGTGGTCGTGGTTGTGGTGGTGGTGCTGTGGTGGTTTGTTCTGGTGGTGGTGGTGGTTGTGGTGATGGGTGGTGGTGGTGGTGGTGGTGGTGGTCTGGTGGTGGTGTGGTGGTGGTGGTTTGTGGTGGTGGTGGTAGTGGATTGTGGTGGTGGTGGTGGTGGTTTGGTGGTGGTATGGTGGTGGTTTGTGGTGGTGGTGTGGTGGTGGTGGTGGTGGTGGTGGTGGTGGTGGTGGTGTGGTGTGGTGGTGGGGTGGTGGTGGGTGGTGTGGTGGTACTGGTGGTGGGGTGTGGTGGCGGTAATTTGTGGGGGTGGTGCTGGTGGTGGTGGCGGTGGTGGCGGTGGTGGTGGTTTGGTGGTTTGTGATAGTGGCGGTGGGTTGTGCTGCTAGTAGTGGTGGTGGTTGTGGCGGTGGTGGCGGTGGTGTGGTAGATTGTGGTGGTGGTGGTGGTAGCGGTGGTGGGTTTTTTGGTGGTGGTGGTGATGGTGAGATGTGGTGGTGGTGGTCGTGGTAGTGTGGTGGTGGTGTGGTGGTGGTTTGTGGTGGTGGTGGGTTGTGGTGGTGGCGGTGGTTTGTGGACGTGGTGTGGTAGTGGTGGTGGTGGCGGTGGTGGTGGTGGTGGTGGTGTGGTGGTTTGTGGTGGTGGCGGTGGGTTGTGCTGCTAGTAGTGGTGGTGGTTGTGGCGGTGGTGGTGGTGGTGTGGTAGATTGTGGTGGTGGTGGTAGTGGTGGTGGGTTTTTGTGGTTGTGGTGTTGGTGGTGTTGGTGGTGATGGTGAGTTGTGGTGGTGGTTGTGGTGGTGGTGGCTGTGGTGGTGGTGGGTGTGGTGGTTGTGTGGTGGGTTGGTGGTGGTGGTGGTGGTGGTGGTGGTGGTGGGTTGAGGCGGAAGTGGTGGCGGTGGTGGTAGTGGTCGTAATCGTCGCTGCGTCCCCGCCGTCGCCGCCGCCAGCGCCAGCGCCGGCGCCAGGGGGGCGGGGGGTTGAACCCCCCCTTGGCGCCCCGTGGGAGGGAGGGGGGGGGTTTGAACCCCCCCCCTTGGGCTGCCTCTGGTCATCGTTGCTGCGTCCCCGCCGTCGGCGCTGCTGGCCGCCGCCAGCGCCAGCGCCAGCGCCGGGGGGGGGGGGTTAACCCCCCCTCCTCGGGAGGGGGGGGGGTTCGGGGGGAGGGGAGCCCCCCTGGTTGTGATCGACGGCGCCGAGTGTTGGGGTGGGGGGGGGACCATCCCCCGGTTCGAAGCGCGCCGCCGAACGTTCCCAAGGCAAGCGCCCGTGAAACGCGCTCTCCCCCCCACTGGGCACCTTGCAAAAAGACGCAGAAGCCCCAAAGTCCAGCACGCACCCCTGTGGTAAGCCAACAGGGGGGCGGCGGGTCTAGTGGCCTTCGGCCTGTGCCGCCACCGCGCGGAGGGTTGCAGGTCAGAGGCTCTCGGCCCGTCTCTGGGCCCTCGCGGGTCCGAAGAGCGGCGCCCTGGGCGCAGCCGCGCCCAGCGCCGACCCGACAAGTCCGCGCGAATTTCCCCAACATATGTGCATCATGCAACTCGCATGCTCCTCAACGGCAGGGGGGGCCGGAGGGAAACGAGCAGAGGTGTGTGGCCCAGGCATCCGTGCCTGGATGTGTTGGAAGTCCCGCCCCTTTTCCCCAGGGCCCGTTTTTCATCCCGAGCCGTTTTTCGACGGCCCCGGGGCCCAGCGAGGGCCCCCCGAAGCCGAACATTGTTTCAAATTGCCCGTCGTATTTTTGTGCACGACGCCAGCCCAGACATGCGATATTTTGAGTTGTTCCGAAGATCGTAGGCCGCACGGGTCGCCCCCTCGCGCTGGGACGGGCAAGGGGTCGATCAAAACGCTGTTATGGCAATATCATGGATCGTTTACAATTTCTCGTGGTGCTCGTTTTGTTTTCATTCAGGGGGCACGATTGGCCAATCACGAGTTCGGATCTGCGCCAAGACGCTGTTTTGGGCCATCGGTCGGACCGTTCTCGCTTCAAAACGCTTCAAAGCGAAGCAACGGAAAACGCAACACACGAGTTTGGCCAACCCGTGGAAGGGGCTCCCATGTCCTGTCGGCTGAGCTCTGACACGTCCTGGGTGGTCTATGCTGACTGCCTGGGCCGCCGCCGGCCGACAGGGAAGGAGCGGGAGGAGCAGATGCGAGCGCAGGACGCGGAGCAGCAGAAGGAGCGGGAGGAATGCGATAGGCTCGAGGTTTGAGGCGTATTGACATGTTCGCAGGAGCTTTCTTCACGCGCCCAGAGTGGCATTCTGGAACTAGCGCCCCCGAGCGCGCTCAGATGATCCTTCCGGGCTCGGCACACCCGCTGGAACACAGCTGCCTGCCTGCGCGCACAGACTGGCAGATTCGGCGCGCCAGCCAGAATGTGCGCTGGCCCGCACATACGACTGGACCTCCTTCCCCTGAATTGGGGTTGGGCGCAGCCAACCAACCATTGACAGCTGCGCGCGCGTTTCGCGTCTCTGCGCGCCAGCACGCGCAAGACAGTGCGCTTCTTCTCGGACGTTTTCCAGCCTCGGGATACGTTCCAGCAGCTGCGCGCCAAGAGCGTTCCAGGGGCGCCTGGATAGTCCCGAACGGCCACCAAAGTGCCGAGTCATGGCACGAACGAAAAACCAAAGGGCAACGTTAGGGCGGAATAGGCTTTTGGGGGGATGCATCGACCCCCAATCGCCAACTTATCGCCGATGGGAGCTCGATTGCCCACCTCACCCAGGAGCGTGCGGATTCGCTGTCGAGGGCACATCGCCGATGTACCGGCGAATGTCGCCAATTCCAGGCCGATGCCCACCTTTGAGCCAGCCCCCCCCTTTATCGTTGCCCCTCAAGGAGGAGGAGGAGGAGGAGGAGGAGGAGGAGGAGGAGGAGGAGGAGGGGGGAAGCGAAGGAGGGGGAGGAGGCTTGACCAGATGGGCGTTCTGCATCTCGCGGGCAGATCTGCCCGGCCGGGTCGGGATCGCGGGCCTTGCTGTGGACCAGTTCGGATCCAGCGGGCCGCATCCAAGGTGATGTCGGAGGAGACGTGGGCCACGCAAAGAACAAGGCATAGGGGGGGAGGAGGAGGAGGAGGAGGAGGAGGAGGAGGAGGAGGAGGAGGAGGAGGAGGGAGGAGGAGGAGGGAGGAGGAGGGAGGAGGGAGGAGGAGGAGGAGGAGGAGGGGAGGGAGGGGGAGAGGGAGGAGGAGGGGAGGAGGAGGAGGAGGAGGGGGAGGAGGAGGGGGAGGAGGGGGAGGAGGGAGGAGGAGGAGGAGGAAAACGAGCAGCACAGCAAAGCAGAGCACTTCAGCCTTGGCGTGGCCCTGGGAGGGGCTCTGGAGGGCTCCGGGGTGGTCAGTGCTGCCCCCGTTGGCTGCGCCACGGGCCCGGGCTGGCGCTTCGGACGCAGCCGCCACGTGGGCACGGGGCACGGGGCACACGGGCCCCGAGTGTCCACCGCCGCGTTCGGGCTCCCAGGGCCTACCATGTACGCCGTACCCCGGACCGATAAAGGCGGGGCCTCCCCCCCTCAGCCCTCTCTCAATGGGGGGGAGCAGCGCTCCCAGCGGCGAGAGGTGCATGATTCTTCCCCCGCGGCTGCGGCGGCTGCAGAGCTGCGGCGTTTCAGCTCTTGCGGCCAGCTGTGGTTCGCGCGATGGCGCGAGTCGTGGCTCCAGCGGTTCTGTGCCGCGCAAGCATGGATTAGAAGTATTGGCCCCGACCGTGTCTCCCCCACCATCCTGTGATGGTGTGTCCTCGTTTTGAATCAGCAGCGCTCCACGTCTCCTAACTTCCTTCCTTCCTTCCTCCTCCCACTCCTCCCTCCCCATCCCTGCTTCTGCCCTTCTCCGCACATCCATTTCGGCACACCCCTCACACGCTTCGTGGCCCCACGGGGAGCTCCACCGAAGGCCCCAGTGGCAGGGTTCGCATGGCGGCCCCGTCCCATGTCGGCATACCCTTCACACGTTTCGTAGCCCTGTATGTAGCTCCACCGAAATCGATACCGACAATGCAATATTCACGACTTCACATGGTTGGCTGGGTAATTCGCCAGGCTCATTCTTGACGCTTCGCGTATCCCGTTGAAACAATCAAGACGGGGGCCTCCAGGGGCTTCCAGGGGCCCCGTTGAAACAATCAAGACGCCGCACGCCTGGGATGGGGTCCGGGGCCCCCGTGGCCCTTAGGACCCCCCTCCTTCTCCATGGCAACTCTCTGGAAGGCGGCGGGCCATTTTGAAGCCACCTTGCTCCACACCCTCCAAGAGGCGGGGCCTTCCTGATATCCAGAGCTCGGGACCAGGACAGGCGAGGGAGGAGGAGCACGAGGAGCGAGGAAGAGAAGGGAGCAGGCCCACATGGGCTCGCCTTTCGGGCAAGATCCCAGTTTTGAAAAGGAAGTGGTCTGCATCATACGAGCGAGATAGCAAGAATGCGAAAGCTATCATTGTAAGGGTCAACGAGGTGTGCGGCAATATCCCCTCTCTGGAACAAGATACAGCCGCAATCGTGTACGCCTGGTACGATGTACAGTGCGTGTGGTTATGTTTGAAAAATGTAAACCCATGTTGCCGCTGCATAAGTTTAGGCTTTTGTTACTTGGATATGAAGAAGCTTCCAGCGAGGGTGCCATGTTGAAAAGGTGCCGCCGTCCATCTTTGTAGCTTCTGCTAGCTTTTAGGTCGAAGATGCGCGGTGCGGGTCGACAACCAAAGGTGAAAAGGACCGTCCTCATCCTTGTAAATGCTGCCAGCGTTTGAGGCATGTGCGTGGCGCTAACGCGAGAGCCCCAATTTGAAGGGATCCGCTCTCCATCTCAAATGGCTGCAAGAGGTTATGACGTTCCACACCTCAAACTTCTGAAAGATGTTACGACGTTTGTGCGCCGCGCTCAAGCGTGAGCCCCACGTTGAACGCCGTCCCTTCAACCGATGTGCCTGTTGCAAACGTTCAGGACGACTGCGTTCAGCACTAAGCCGAGAGCCCAAGTTTGAAAAGTGCCCCATTTCATCCTAGCAGCTGTTGGCAAGTTCAAACACGATCATATCCTGTGGGGGGGCACTCAGGCGAAACGCCTCGCCCGCCTTACCCAAACGTCTAGCGGTGCGACATGGAAGCGTCATCTATAAAAAGAAGGATGGAGAAGGAAGAGGAAGAGGAGGAGGAGGAGGAGGACAGGAGGAGGAGAAACAGGAGGAGACGATGAAGAGGAAACGGGAGGAAGAGTTTGAGGGAGGAAGAGAGCAGGAACAGGAGGAGAAGAGATGGGAAAGAGGAGATAGGGAGGAGACGTATGAGGATCAGGAGGGCCAACTGCACACGCAAGGGGAGGAGCCCCCCCCCTCTGAAATCTGCGCCGCCCCCACGAGGAGAGCGTCACAGACGAGGCCTCGTGGCAGCAGAAGGCGGCCGCCATGAGAGCCAGGGGGTGCAGCAGGGGCTGCTCTGAGAGGGGTGTGGTCGGGGGGGGGAGGACTGACGAGGAGGAGGAGGAGGAGGAGGAGGAGGAGGAGAAGACCAGAGTTGGGGAGGGATGCGGGATGACGAGGGCAAGAAGGGAGGTGGTCGGGGGGGAGGATGAGGATGAGGAGGGAGGGGCACGAGGGCGAGGGAGGATGATGAGGTAAGAGGAGGAGGAGCAGTAGGAGGAGCAGGACGGAGGAGAAAGTAGGGAGGAGAAGGATGACGAGGAAGGATGAAGACGAGATGGAGGTGGAGGGGAGGAGGGAAGAGGGAGGATGGTGGGCAGGGGAGGAAGGAGGGAGGGAGGAGGAGGAGGAGGAGCAGCAGAAGGTGGAGGAGGAGGTGGGGGGGGAGGAGGAGGAGAGGACGGTACGGAAGAGGAGAAGGAGAGTGAGAAAGAAGTTGCGGGGGGAGGAGTGGAGGAGGAGCAGCAGGGGGAGGACGAGGGCCACTGGGGGGCCGTATCGTGCCCCCCCCCCCTTGGGGGGCCGCGCGGGCCGGTCCCAGGCGTGTGTCTCTCGGACGCCGCGCCGTCATGGAACCTTGCGAGATCAAGAGGAACCGACATGAGTCGAGACCGTGGCTCATCCGAGCTGCGGTTTGCCGTCTTCACACGCGGCCAGAATTGTAAACGCATCGATCTACGAGGCTTGCGGAGAATACCCTCCAGCATCGGCATAGCTGGAACGGGTCACTGCGAGAATTGGAAGCGGAGGCATGAGAATTGCTCGGGCACGTGCGAGAAAATCGAGCAGTGGCAGCGACTTTTTGTAGCAGACACCACGCCATGCGAGGCGAAGACGAAATACATCGTAGTCCAAGTGGCGGCCCCCAGTGGCATTAGCGTCAGCGCTGGCAACATTAGCGACAAGCCAGGGCCCGTTGTTGTTCGAGGAAAGCTTACATGTGCGTGAGAGTGTCGTTGGAGGGCAGTGGCAGCAGGAGGCGCTGGATGTTTTGCCGCCCAACGCCATCAGCTATCAGGAGGGACTTCAGTTGCGCTACGGCGATTTGTTCTGGGGGGATTCGTGGTTGCCCGCCGGGGACCCGCAGCAGAACCTGAGCGAGCGCGAAAGCAGAGCGGACGCAATCAACTACGTGCTGGTTCCACCTTGTCTGAGGTCAGATGCGGCAGGCGAATACCGAAATAGGGCAGTATCAGCAGGAGGGTGAACAGGCTCAAGAAGAGTGGGCTCAGGGAGCGCGGTAGGCAGTGGCAGCAGGCTGGGTTAGCACACGACGTCGACAAACAGCAGGAACATTAGCAGTAGGGAGGGGTGTCAGCAATGCCTGTTCTTTCGGGGGGTCTCCAGAAAGTGGGAATCCCGACATAAGGGTTGCCGAGAACTTCGATCATTTATGGCACAAACACGACCCAAAATTGCTGCAACTAGGAGAAGGAGGGCAGTGGCAGCCGATGTACAGAGAATGACGGGCAGCGGCAGCCTGGGCATGAAGAAATACGGCAGTGGCAGCCCCGGCATTGGCAGCGCGAGAAAAGCGGACAGTCGCAGATTGGGCAAATGGGCTAGCGGACGCTTGGCCCAAGACAGTTTTTTATTCAAGCACAACATGTTGGCTCGAACCCGCAGCACCGCCGAGCCCGCCCGACACCCCCCGCCAGACCCAGCCGACAACGCGAAGTACGACAAAGAGGAGCTGATCGACCCAACGATCTATTCGGAGCCGCACCGACCCGAGGTGACGAGCTGCGCACTCCTTGCGGTGCCAGCGACTCTTCCGACGATCCAAGACAGCAGCGAAAACAAGGAGGAAGACGGCCACGTCGGCGCGGACGCCGACTCCTGCCTAGACGAGTCGATGGTCGCCGTTGTCCGAAGGGCCAGTGCTCGAGAGCGGACCGCAGCGGCCGCGACGGTGCGCGAGAGCGGGCAGCAGCCGCAACAGCGTACGAGAGTGGAATGCACTGGTGACGAGCTACGAGGGAAGCGGCCAAGCGAAGTACGAGCCCGATGCCATCAGCCACGAGGGAGGTTGCCAAGCAAAGCACGAGCCCGATGCCATCAGTTACAACGTAGGAGCAGAGCCGCCTGCCCGCGCTGAGGCCGCCCAGGCCTTGGAGAGACGCCTAACGATGAAGCCAGACGTCATCAGCCCCGGTGCTCACCAAAGTGATTTGGCTCAAGAAAGCGGCTTAGTCCAAGAAAAATGTGGCTCCACCACAACATCTTGGCTGAACAATGTCGTGAGGAAGTGCGGGCCGTGGCAACAGGCTTTGGCAGCGGCAGTTCCGCGAAGCGTGGACCCGACGCCATCTGCAACGAGGGGGCCTGCAAAGCGAAGGACACGCCCGATGCCATTAGTTACGAGGGAGGCGGCACAACGAGGGACGAGCCAGACGCCATCAGCCACGAGGGAGGAGGCAAGACGAAGGACGAGCCCAACGCCACCAGCTACGAGGGAGGAGAAAATGCATAAAACGAGCCCGGCGCCATCATCTACAAGGGAGGGCCCCAAACGATAGACGAGCCCGACGCCATCCGCTACGACAGAGTGAGCGCCACCATGTGGGAGAGCAGCCAGATCCCATCGAGCATCCGAAAGCCATGGGACATCTTCGAGGGGCACCCCGAGGAGGCGCTCAACGGCCTCAGCGACACAACGGACGAGGCAGGCCTGCGAGCACGCCTCGACAGCGGGCAAGCAGCGGGAGCCCGTGGCCTTCGCGCGGCCCCCGAAGGAGGAGCAGCACGCCTTCGAGGAGGTCTCGATCGTCGAGCTCGCGGCCCACGTGCACTACAGGCGCCACTACACCCAGGGCCGTGGCGCGGACGGAGAGCAGCTGGCCGCCAAGGTCTAGTCCTCCCTGGGCAGCCAGGGGATGGCGGACTGTGTCACCGAACACCCATGGGACGAACTCGCCGCGGACTCGCGCTCGGCGCCGCATCTCCGGCGCGGCCGGACCTGGATCGCAAACCGAGAAAGAGGGCATCGTTCGCCACCGACGCGGGCAAGCAATAGCGCGTCTTCGAATTCAAAGATCACCTGAGCTTCGTCCTCCTGAGGAGTGGGGCCGAGAAGTGGCGACTTCGAGAAGGATATGTTCGCCGCCAGTGCTTGAGGGGGAGGGCGAGCGAGGCGGGGGAAGGAAGGGCGCGCGAAGAAGACGAGGCGGCGCTGCAGTCTGAGCCCATCCCTGGTCGAGCCGCTCGCGGCTTGACCAGCGGCACCGCAAAGAGCAGGGGTGCCGCGTGGAATGTCCAGGGGCACACCATCTGAACCTCGTGGCCACCGTGATCTGATCGAGCCATCACTCGTGCTCGCGGACTGGTCGAGCAACCCGTCAGGGCCTACGTCGGTTCGATCAACCGATTCGATATCGATTCCCGCTTGCCCGATTCGATTCGATTCCGATGTTCTGGCGATCCGATGTGGGCGTTGCGGTGCATCTCGACGCAGCCGACCCCAGTCGATGTCGAGTCTGTGCCGACGCAGCCCGTTCTGACGCGCATTCTGATCCCATGAGGATTGATCTCGCATTCGTGATCTTGGGCCGGTCGAGCCATCAATGGCCTGGCCAGGGGCGCCGCCACCCAGCTCGCACCACGCAGGCTTCGACGAGCGGTTCGGAGCGGCTGCCAGGCTCAGATTTCCGGCGGCGCGATAATTTCACAACATGAATATGTTGTTTTGCGTGGCTTCTGTTGCTAATATTATGATTGGCCCGTTTCGCTGCGTTGTTTTATCGCCTCCTTGGATTGCGTTGGTTCGCGGGGCGTTTCACGCAACGTTCTAACTGGTGCATTCCGCCTCTTGCCCGCCCCCCCTTCCACCGGAGGATGTAGTCTTCAGCAGGTGCGCATTGCCCCCCCCGCCCCCACCCTCCCCCCCCCCCTCCTCCTCGGAGCCGACAAGAGTCCAATGGTCCGACGCAGCTGTTCGACATGGAGTCTCGGAAAACAACGCAATGACCTTGGCGCGGCTCTCGCCAGCTCCCTTGGCAACGCGCCGGCAGCAGCATGGTGGCTTTTGCGCGCGCTGGGCGCCGCGGACGCGCACAGATTCGAACCCAGACTCCTCCAGCGTCAGCTGGAATGCGCAGGCACTCCTGCGCACCGACCCGCGCAGAGGGGACACCACGCGGAGGACCCTGATTCCGCGCCTCAAGAAGTTCTCCACCATCGCTCTTCAGCAGACGCATGGGACCAGGACCTCTCTGCGCCAAATGGCCAACTCCACGGCGATCAAATACCAGGCGTGTCACAGCCCCGCCCCTGGCAACCTCGCCGCGGGTGGCATTGACCAGACAGCGAAGCCCGACATACCGTTTTCTGCCATTGTTCCTGGACGAGCCGCTCTCCTCCGCATTGCCGATGTCACGAAGCAGTATACTCATACCTGTATGAACATCCACAACCACGGCCTCTCAACCGCTGACCGAGCTGCCATCAGGCACGCCTGCGTATCCGCGAACAGCGAGGCGCTGGCCGACCCCGATCACACGCTGTTCTTCATGCTCGGGGACTTCAATATCGCTGAACATCAAACGCGCAGTCTCACCCGACCTATTCACATTCATGCGAATGAGAGGTATCAGTACCAGCCTACTTGTTGGAAGCAACTTGTCCGCATGCGCACCGAGAATACCACCGCATCGACTACTCACCGCCGCGCAGCAGACTCTTCAGAATCGCGCATTGACCGCTTCTTCACGTCTTTCGCCGCCCACAACATTCCGGTGATCGGGACCGCCACGGTTATTGACGACTCCCCTTTGGAACGTTTTGGCAGCCCATCCAGCGACCACAAGCCCATGCAAGTTCGAATCCGACATCGCGCACAACGCCCACATGCTGAGCGAGGCATCCCCGTTTTTCTTATCCAGTCCAAGTTCTACGCGAGCACCATCGAACACCTGCCCCTGAAAACAGACTACGACAACCTCTCCCCGATCGGCAAGTGGAAAGCCCGCAAGGAGAACATGGTTACTGCTGCTTCCCATGCTCGCGACGCACCCACGCGTCTCCATCCTGACAATCTCAAGTCCGATCGCAACGCCATCTCCAAGGAGGTCTACTCCATGACCATGCGCAGTATCGCCAGAGCGGCGTGGTACCAAGACGCCAAACTCGCCCGCATCCTCATCGACAAATCGGCACTGGGCGCGAAGTACCTCCAGATGAACGCGACCCCAGCATCCCCGCATTGCTGCTCTGTCATCGCGCTGAAGGACCCTGCGCTCTTCGCGATTGACGCCGCCACCTACCACGCCGCGGTCTCTGCCGAGCGACGCGCCCAGGCTGCTGCCGCCGCTCGCCAGGCTTTTCAAGAACCACAGCAGCTTCGAGGCGACAGGTGGCGGAAACGAGCCAACGCTGAGCGTGGGAAAGGGGGGCTCTGGAAGCCCTTTTTCCAAGCGCGTGGTGCTTGCTGGTATCCGAGTGTCCCGCGGCGCGTCCAACGCGCTGCTCAGGGACCCAATGGACATGCACTCCGCTATCCAAGCCCATTGGATGCCGATCTTCACCGACAAGCCCGTAGACACCAACGCCATGAATTCCCACCTTGACTCGGACTTCCCCCCCATGGCCAATCTTCGACGCCGCGATTCCCGACGAGCACGACCTCTTTCTGGCAGCGAAGAACGCGTCTGATTCTGCACTTGGACCTGACGGCCTTCATTATCGTGCCTGGCTCGTCGCCCCCATCCTCGCCGAGCTCGCCACTCACCTGTCCAACGGCCTCGCTATCCCGCACGCGCTCAACCACACCACGGTGGCAATGTTACCGAAAGGAGACGAGCCGGGCGGGCAATCAGAGTGCACTCGTGAGCCCGGTCAGCTGCGCCCCCTCGCCATGAAGAACACTGACGTGAAGATCATCGCGTCCGCCACGAACAGAAAGCTCAAGCCGCTGGTGACAAAAAATGATCACGTCCATCCAGCGAGGCTTTGTCCCTGGGCGACAGCTCTTGGACAACATTGTCGAGGTCGACACATACAGCCGCAAGTATAGCACCCTCCCTGATGCTCAAGCTCTTCAACCATGCTTTCTGAGCATGGACATTGCGGCCGCCTTCCCGAGCCTCTCGCATGCCTGGATGTGGAACGTCCTACAGAGATGGGGTATACACGGCCGCATACTCACCCGAATTCAACAATTTTACCACATGCCGATATCTCTACTCGAAATGGGGGGCACGCGACGACCGCTTTTCCTCGCTTCTAGTGGAGTTGCGCAAGGCTGCCCCCTTAGTGGCACCATCTGGGCATTGTTCTTCGACCCTCCACTGATCGGCATCAACGGTTTCTTCAAGACGGTCCAAAGGGGCACCGCCACGGCATGTGCGGATGATCTTGGATGCGTTCTTGCATGTCTACGTGACATCGATGGACTGCGACCCCACCTTTTTGTGATTGCTCAATATGCTGGCCTTCACCTTCAACCACGCAATTGCGTCTTCGCCCCCGTCTGGGCCATTGCCTCTTCCTACTTGGTCGACCGCATCAAAGACATTCTTGCTCATATCCACGCCGATCGGGCCCTCTTCAAGATCGAGTCCTCTGCCAAGTACCTCGGCGTCTTCATGGGACCTGGAGCTGACGAACGCACGACATGGTCTGGCCCCGCCGCCAAGTGGCTTTACCGCGCCCCGATCCTCGGCGAATCTCACGCTCCGATCCAGCAGAACATCAAGTCGCGCAACTCTTCCGCGCTGACGACGCTATCCTATGTTGGCCAACCTTTCTCTGTACCTGAACTGATTCTCAGCCGCGATATCCACGTCCTCCACAAGATAATCCGCTCGCCGCCCTCGGCCTTCACCAAACTGGACAGATTGGGTCTGAAGAATTGGGCTGGAGCTGACATCCCCATGGGCGCAGAAGCACTGTTGAGTGCGACACTGTGGAGAGCTGCTGCTACTACTATCAAGAGTTGGCCCCCACTGATAGACATGCCCAGCGGGTCCGCCATGCAGAATCTCCCCATCGTCGCCACGGTGAACGGGCGCTGGTCTGCCGAGTGCCGGGCCGCGCCTTTCTCGATTGCCCGACATCTCCGAGCGGCGAAGAACGGCACTGCTTCCCTTACGGGCAAGGGCTCCATATTCATGGCTTTAAAAAAGAATGAAGAACGCAGGCTCCGCTCGACAACCACTCCTAGGTGCTCATCGCAATGCTGCGGCCACGGCGCTCTCCCCGCCACGTCAACCCGTCCTTGTGTAGGTTTGAAACTCGTTTCGAAACCGTAGGTTCTTGGGAGTGTTGGGGGAAACCTCAGCCATTTTCCCCTGCTCTTTTGAGTGGGGGGCTCAAGGGTGGCTCCCACAGCGGGCTCGCCCCGACGCGCGAGCCTGGGCCCCCCCGACGCGGGGCCCCGCCACGGGCACACGGTGGCGCCCCATGCCGCTGCCGGCGGCCATGGCGCTGGTGCCGGCCCTGGCCGGCCCCCTGGCGCACGGACGGCCGCGGGCGCTGCTGCCCCCGGCGCTGGTGCTGGCCCCGGCTGGGGCGCTGGAGTTCTGGGACGACTTCTGGGACTACGTGCATGAGCGGCGCCGTAGGGAGGCGAAGCAGGCCAACGCCAGCGTGACGGGCAAGAGGCAGAAGGCCAACCTCAGCATGGCGAACGAGAGCTCCTGCGGCGCCAACTCAAGCAACGTGACGAACGGGTCGGTCGGCCCGCCCGACGACGCGGGCCCGACTGACAACATTGGCGACGGGGACGGGTACGACGACAGCAACGACGAGTTCCCCGGCGTCTTCATCCTCGGGTACCGCTTCGTGGCCTCCCTCTTTGTCGTCGTGGAGGCCCCACTGGACGAGGGAGGTTTCTTCAGCGACCCCGTCAGGCGTGCAG